GAGTGTAGCAGTCAGTATATTTCAAAATTATTCAGCAATTTAGAAACTTTTCAAAAACCGAAAGATACCTTATTAGTCGTCTTAACCAGCCGTACTGAACCTCAGTTGGTGCGCCATATATTAGGGTTCCACCCAACGTTCGCAGCCGCGACCTTGTTAGTCAGGTGTGCAAGGCTCTAAGCGCTGTCCTGGCCAAGGCCTACCAACACTGCCCAATGAGACTGGGAGGTCGGGATCTCACAAATGTGCATGCCCTGTGGAGTTAAGTGGAGTTATATCTGACGTCGACAGTCCTCCTCATCGATTCAGGAAAATGGTTTCGGACTTGGAGTTCCGGTGTGTTTAATTCTACTGGAAAGCATAATGGATGACGTACTGCAGCGCATTAGTGCCGCCCCCAGTGATGCTCGTATTAAAAAGGAGTCGAACTTCAAGAGAAGCTCCAAGATCTCCTCCGTCCTATTAACGACAGAACTATGACTATGACAGATGTTAATTTTTCGAAAAGAGTTTTGTGCCCGCCGAAACAAGCCTGCTCTCTAAATGAATACCGATGCTGCACCTACGAGCTCCGAACCTTTAATGAAAATTTTAGTCGAAGGCAATCAAATACTGCGAAAAAGCTAGTTATTGCTCATTCTACGAACAAATTGTATAAATTCTATATGGCAAACACTTTCTACGCTACTTCCAACCTAAGTACTAGCTAGATGCCCACGCAAGTGCTTCGCCCATGTTTATGCTGCTAAATGACACTTCAAGGAGGGTTTTGGCTCCTCAGTCTGCCCTCCATCCTCCCCTATGCGGTTTTTGCTATAGAAACTGCAGAGCATAATCAAGGGAATAATTTCCCAAATTATTAAGTGGAGTTCATTGACGGACACATGACATTTTTCAATCAGATCCGAAATTTCAATTAAAGTTTCAGTCAAGGACAGTCAAGTACTTTGTAATATGCACATAGTACCCATTCTACAAACAAGCAGTACCACGAGTAGTATAAATTCTATATGTCAAAAATTGTATACCTTACTCCAGATATAGGTACGTGCTCAAAGTCCAGAAAAGTGTTTAGTCGACGTTTGTGCCGCTGCATAACTCAAAAACGAGGGGTTCGTCGGCTCAGTTGT